GGGGGCTTGGTGTCTGCAGGAGGCGTGTCTGCAGTGTCATTGACTTGAATGGCACCACTACGACCCCTTCCAGCCCCAGAACGCGGCCCTGCCTGATCTATGCAAATCTGCGTGTCGGGCTCAGACCATGCCAGAACGCCCTGGATATGGTGCGACTGGGCCCTCAAGGTGAAAGCTAGAATAGTAACTCCATGCAATTCAAAGGCATCTCAGAAGCTACATACAGGGAATACCGACACCAGTCCCATTTTAGAGCATTGCTGCTCCTAGTAGGGTGTGCAGAACCTTACAAATGACAACAGAATGCAGGGAATTTATCAAAACTGGAGTAGACAGAAGCTGGAGCAGTTGCCCAATGTAACCAATCAGCTTCTATCCTTAATTTTCAAAGCTTAAATGAACAAACTTAAAGAGAGAAGCTGATTGATTGCCATGGGCATCTGCTCCAGATGTGATCATTTCCCTCCCTTGTATACAAAGGTGTCACATGGCCTTATTTGCTTTGAGGGCCAGTGCACACACCACGCAGTCATGGAGTCGCCCATCACCGACGATCGCGCTGTGGGTACAATTATTTTCTAATGGCACCCCACACACACCGGGCGTATAGTGTGATTTCCCGCCTATGCATCCGAACACAAATGCTGCAACAGCCGCTCGTCATGTGGCACAAAAAAAAAAAAAAAAAAAAAAAAAAAAAGGCACATGTACCTTTTGTCTGCGATTGCCGCGCAGATGTACCCCATTGAAATCAATGGGGTCGCGCGGCAATTGTGGCGGACCGCACGTCCCGGATCGCTCAGGTCTGCACCGGGCCTTATGGTACTGTAACCATAGTGGCCTTTCAGAGAATGAAACCTTGTTTATATGGTATACCAATGTATCAGATCGACATGTGAGGACAGTCACTGTTCAGCCAATCATTTTCCACCCAGCTCTGTTGACTTTTAAACAGACTTTTGTGAGCCGGGTGGTGCAACATGGCTTGAATTTTGGACCATTTAATAGGAACAGACCTAAATTCGAGCCATCTATGGCCAATTATGGCTTTCAGTTGTTGAATCTTGATAACATAATTCAATCACAGGGACAAATGATGTGACAATGTCCATGAACACATGCATACAATATCCAAGACAACAGCAATTCTGGAACAGATCATTTGATATTCAGTGCTCATGAAAGTGAAACGTCAGCAGCATGGCACAAAGTGTGAATGAATAATAAAGTTCAGAGGAGGATTTGTGACAGAACAGAAATAGATGGGTATGGGAGCAGTCGGCACATTGTAATTATACACAATTAGATGAATGTTTACTCACCCGGCAGGTACACGGGTTGGCAAATGATTGAGCAGAACCAGTTAGTCACAGGTGGATAACATGACACTGTGTGAAGGACACAAAGTCTGCTTTTGTGACAGGAACGTTGAGGTCATTCAGGAATGAAAGTGAAACACGGCACACGCCATGGAGGATGCTGGCTATGTAGACGGAGGGCTTTGTACAGATCTCTGCACAGCAAAGATGGCCAGTCAGAAATCTAATCGTCGTTGTCAAGCCTGCACTCTATAGGACTACTCTGTCCTAGCTGGTGCATATACCGTGGCGGAACTGCTCAATTTCCACCTCCTGCAGTCACAGATTTTCTAATACAATGGAAGGTCACTCACATCCAGACATTTTTAACCTGTTGCCTCCGGCCGTGCACATGTAATGCGGCTGTACGGCGGTGACCGCTCACACTAGCAGTCTGCTAAAACGCTGCTTTTTACTGCACAGGCTAGAATCTTCAGGGGTCTCAAACCTCCGGCCCCCCAGCTGTGGTGAAACTACAAATCCCATGATGCATCTCTCTTCGGGAGTCATCTCTGTGGCTCTGAGAATCTTGCAATGGTTCCACCACAGCTGGAGGGCCTGGAGGTTTGAGGCCCCTGGGCTAGATCAAAGGTGGGCAACCCCAGCCCTCCAGCTGTTGTGGAACTACAAATCCCATTAGGCATTTCAAGATTCTCATAGCCACAGGCATGATTTCCAGAGACAGATGCATGGAGGGATTTTTAGTTTCACCACAGCTGGAGGGCCGGAGTTTGCCCACCACAGGGGTTGCGCATTCTATCGCTAACAGTCGGAGCTGTCACGGTTTACATTTTTCTTTCTTTTTTTAAACTTTATGTGGCATGTACAATGTGTACACTCCATTCAGGTCCCTGCACAGTATTCATGCGTTGGAGGCGCAGTAAAGCGCAGGTCACCGATGTTGCCAAACGGCAGTGGGCTTTAATATCATATACACACGTGCGCAGTCGCTGCTGCTGTTGTGTACTGGGAGCAAACTCACTTGGCGCCTCCAAGCACAGCGACCACACGGTCACCTACAACTCCCGGTCAGTTTACAATCAGAAGCCAGAAGGATGGTCTTGTGATTATGTGATCACCGTGACAGCCAATCACATAACTGGAAGCCCCCCTATCGGCCACCAATATTTGGAATTCCTTAAAAGCCCCAGGAGGCAGCGTGTGTAAACCCAAATCACTAAAATCTCATATACCATCATCACGTTAATGTCAGTTTTAACTGTTTTACATATGCAGCTTTTCTTAAAATAATACCTGGTGATCCCGCCATGAAGGTTCTTCTTCAGGCACTTCCTGCATAGGGTGACAACGCTCTGTCCCTGTCTCCCAGCTGTGCTCCTGCGTGGTCACCCTGTCTCATGGACTTCTGATAGAGACTGGTTGTTTAAACACACGTTATGGTGGCATGGTCCTTTGTTGTCACTACCGGCCCTGAGAAATGGTATGCAGCCATCAATGGAGTACATGCATATAGACAGGAAGTAGCTGCAAGAAATCAGCAGCACCAAGATAAAAGTATTTTTTCATTTTAAATGGCAATTGTTTCTGATACATTGTGCTTGACCAGGCTAAATGTCATTCAGTTAATGCACAAAAAGGGGGCGCCCCCTTTTTGTGCTTTCTTTTAGATACGACAGTCCCCCTGGCTGAAGTGGGGCAGCATCCTGCAGTATGCATATTAATACACTCTTTTGAGGAGTGATTGTCCTTGGCGCTTTGTGTTTTATTTGTTCTGTCATTCAGTCAATGTTTCCATATACTTTAGCCCTGGGACACTAACCCCCTGCACTATCCAGTCTTTAAAAGGAGAACTATGGGGTTCGGGCTTTTCCCCATAGTTCTCCTTAGGGTAACGGGAAGACACAAACTAGCGTCCAACCGTCACCCTAGGCTCAGTATACTGCTACTGCTCGCAGTATACTGAGACGCCGCAGCCGGAGCGGATCCCGACATCGATGTCGAGATCCGCCCAGCTGCGTGAGTGACAGCTGGCTCTGCCTATCTAGAGGCAGAGCCAGCTGTACCCGCCCCCTCCCCCGTCCGTTCCGCCAGTCAGCGCTGGCAGATCGGAGCGGGGAGGGGGGAATCCAGCCCCTCCCCTGTCACGGCAGAGAGCCGTGACAGGATCGAGAAGTGAGCGAACGCCGGTATGTGTTCGCTCACCTCCCGATCTACTGAGCCAACCTGTGACAGTCTCATTGTCACAGGTCAGCTAGAACTATGAGGTGAGTGAGAAGCACTCACCTCATAGTTCTCCTTTAAATCAGATTTTTTTTTTTAGAGCCCGTGGAACGCGCGTCTAAACCGAACTCCCCTGTGAACAAAAAAGAAGTGAACCGTGAAATCACAGCACACAAAAACGTGCACAAGGGTGCTTGGTCCTTCGATTCCCGACCCCCCGGGGCGCAAGGCTCCTGACAGGGGTTGAGACTGTTGGTCCACCTACCCGAAGGCAGGCGGACCCCGATCCTTCGGGGACCTGCCGAAACAGGTCCCTCACAGTACTGTGTAGGGGGATCTTCCGAAGAGAAACCCCCTTGGTGGGAGGAGACCGAGAACCCTATATAAGGGCACAGGCCCGAAGGAACCTGCACCCTAAGCAATCTGTGGGTCAAATAGTAAAAAAAAAAAAAAAAGTGCCAAATCGTGCATGAGGTGCAATAAATAAATAACGTGCCAGTGCACCACACTGACAGGCCCTAGGGGCCGGAGTGTAAAAATATTGCCCAGACTAGCCATAAGGCCTGTCATGGAGGCGTTGTGCAGATGTTCCATTTGCAAATGTAATGCAATGCAATGGCTGGCTGGTTCAAAGCCAGCAAGACTCGCAAGGGCAGTCTGAACACCCAGTATTACCGTCCTCAGGGCGAGCTACAGTATATGCAGGTGACATAGCGATGGTCATTATTCATTGGAAAGACGAGATCTTGGTGGGGAAGGGGGCAGTGTCGGCTTTATGGAGAACAACAATGATCGGATGAGATTACCAGCCGGGGGCCCCCATAGACATGTGATCAGCGTGCAATCTGCAGGATCAGACCACGGACAGCACATCTATAACAGCCACGTTCATCCAATCTTTACATCCTTCTCCTGTAAGTCGCCGATTTGCTGCTTCACACAAGATTCCCATGTTAGAGGAGCAAAGCGTTTCAGATTTCTGCAATCCGCTCTAAAACTTTTTTACTCCAGAATGCTTTCAGTGACCCATCATGCCCCCATCAGCAGATATGGTGCTTGTAGCTTTCAGTAAGTGTCCAAAAAAAAAAAAAAATCAGGACACTTAGAATCAGTTAAATCTCATTAAATGATCTAACATCTACACATTAAAAACAGAAAAAAGTTGTAAGCAGTACTATATGGAGGTGGGTGTGCTACGTGCTCTGAGCTGACAGAACTACAAGTCCCAGCAAGCCCTGATGATTATAGTTGATAAGGAATGATGGAAATTGTAATTTCCTTTCAACCAACAGCTAGGGGAACTCTCTGTAGACTCCAGATCCTAATGCAGCTTTAATCTACAGAGTTCATTGTTGGGGATTTCCATCTCCTAATACAACCCCCTCCATACACACAATGAGGTGTCTGATCCGGATCATAGATGTCCCAGGTAATCCCGATAACATCACCCCCAGCTCTCACCATGCCAGGACTGCTCGTCATCAGCGGCCCGTCCGGTACATTGTCTGCAGAGAGGAATCAGAGCTACAATGAGCAGAGGAAGTCTCCCCGTCCCCGGATCGCTGTGTATGAGCCGCTGAGCGAGTGTGTGTGTGTGTGTGTGTTGTGTGGGTGAGCCAATCAGCGGCGGCCTCTCGGTGACGAAATCTTTTACACTCCCCCTCCTCCCGAGGCAGATGAGAGGTCTGTGCTCCGGGTGCGGGGTCATGACCAAACATGGAAGTTACTACCTGTCACCAATGGCAAATAATTTATTTACATATCACAAAATAAAATCATATTTAACAACTAAATTATTGCTGACATAGACATCTTCCTAAAGCTCACCACACGCCTTACAATTTGACTGTACGATCAGTGGCGTCACAGGGGGGGTGTGGCACACATCCGGGTGACACCATTGGAGGGGTGACACCAAAATGACTGTCAGTCATTTTGGTGTCACCCCCTCTGAATAGTCGGGCACTCAGTCATGGACCAAGAACCCGACAGTTGCTCGAGCTTCCCCTCCTCCCTCTGCCGGTGTTCATCACCAAGATGGCTGCCGGCAGGTAACAGCGATACAGCGCGTGACGTTATCATGCGCGTGCGCGATGATGTCACTGCGGGGTGTCACCCGGGACCCGCACCGGGTGTCACCTCGCCTCGGGATGCCCCGTGTACGATCTTCTTTAGGTCTACCGACAACTACGTAGTACAAGGGGCTACCTGACTGGATACAAACGTGCTGAATACATGCCAAATGTGGGAAAAGTCATGCATGTAGCAAATTCTGCAACATGTATGCTGCGTTTACTCAGCCGCCAATAACTAGTAATGGCATCGCATGCGCTTTGCGCGTTTCGTGAATGCGCATCTGAGCGCACACTTTTGTGCACGGTTGTCGCGCATTCCCAATACATCTATGTGTACATGAGCACTAAGGTCACCCTACACATTACAATGTGACCCGGCAATCCTTGTACAGTCATTTTTAGATTTACCAAAACGATGTAATACAAGGACCTACCTAAACTAACCAATAAATCTGCATCCTGGCAGGCCTTGTACGACATAGTTGTCGGTAGATCTAAAGGGGATTGTACAATTAGATTGTAATGTGTGTGGTGAGCTTTGTTTGCATCGGTGACTATAGTCATCAAAGTGATGAAGGCAGCAATAAAAACTTGACCGAGGGCCTGACCCTTCCCCACTCAGTCCAAAGTAAAACAATGGTTTTGCCTAGAGATACACTATAAAACCGGTCCAGTGATGTCACTGCAGCCCCTTATCACAGCCGTGCTGATCTCCCTCTGGTCCTCCTGCTGACACACCCACCCTGCCGGTCCCAGCAGGCCAATACAAGGGACAGTTAGGCCCAGGATAGCTGGTGGTGGGGGTTGGCTGCATGCTATTCAGCTCCATACATGTAATTGGGCAGATCTCTACAGCTGCCTCATTACTTGTATGTGAAAGCCGACAGTCGGATGAAAAAAAAACAATACCAAGATCATGTCTGCTGTGATCCTGGAATAACCACTTTATTACTGGGTCTTTATTTACATATGCAAGGGGCATTAACTAGAAATCTCAGGGCCCCATACAAAATTTAGCTATGGGGCTAGGGTTGCCACCTTTTCTTCTAGCGGAACCCGAACACTCTAGCGACACGCGGACATTTTTTTGGAGTCCCGGCTTATCCATATGTAAATAGCGCCACCCATTCATAGGTAAATATCACAGTCGAGACAGTACAGTGGGGGGCCAGTAGCCCCTATATTAATTTTCATTGCCCCTGTCTGCCTGACATCTTGTGTCCGGGTTTCTGCTGGCATGAAACCCGGACACAGCATTCAAAACCCGAACTGTCCGGGTGAATCCTGGACAGGTGGCAACCCATAATGGGGCCCTGAGATGTCTAGTTACCCCCCTGCATTTGGTGCACACAAAGTGGATATATAGCCTTTGTGGCTATTGAGAAATGTATTTTACCAAAACATTTTGCGCCTGGACTTCAGCTTTAATCTTTTTTTGCACAATGGCATTTAATATAAAAAGATATTCCAGATAACACTTCATAATCCACGGTGAAATGACATTTTTATTTATTTGTCACCACCTAGTGGACAGAGGAGAACATACACCAGGCACAAGAGAAACAAATGCAGCAAAAAGCACATGCCAAGGGAACCAATGGCAGCCTTGGTTTATAAAGGTGCTGTGACCGGGGCTTCCATCTGGATCCTAACATCTGTGGATTTTGAGCACTGAGAGGAGCACCATATATTCCCACAAACCCACCATGTTTGAATGAATTCATTTTTCATGGACTGTTTTGTATGAGCTACCTGAGCACGGTCCCAGAACACACCCAGGTAACCAATTTTTAACAGCAACATAATTAAACTTTACCCAGATCTTTAAAATAACAACACAGACACCTTCAGAAATGTTTAGTAATGACAATCTACACACACATACTTCTAGATAATTGCTGGCTTGTATTCTTTGCATAACTTATTTCTCTTTTCTTCCCCAGTCTTCTGAGGACCGGTGCACACCTAGCCGACACTTCACCGCATGGCAATCGTGCGCGATTTTGCACGGCAATCGTGGAGTCGCCCAGCACAGACGGTCGCGCCGCAATTCCGCCCATGCATCTGAACACAATCGCGGCGAAAAAAAGGTGCATGACGTGTTTCGCAAAAAAAAAGTACATGCACCTTTTTTCTGCAATTGCCGCGCGGATGTCACCCCATTGAATGGGGCAACGCAGCAATCTCTGCCTGCATTGTGCAGAACCATGCAATCCCGGATTGCTCAGGTCTGTACAGGGCCTCGCAGTGGCCATGTTTACTAAGGGCAGATTACCCAGATAGCAAGGACAACTTGCTACAAACTTGTGGCAGGGTGAAATTGTAATTTTTGTTAACTTGCTGCACACATTCCTGGCAAGTTGTAGACTTGCAGAACACTTGCAGCACAAGTTCTAGTTGACACTTTTTGAATTTGTAGCAAATTTGCTTGGCAAGTCCACAGCAAGGGTCCTGCAGGTCTTAGCAAGAGCTCTGCAACCTCGCTGGTCTGGAGACTTGCAATGCAGACTTGATGTAATTGTGCAACAAAATTGTGAAGCTTGGCAAGTCTGCAATAGTTTAGCAAGTCATTTTCAAACTTGCAGCTCAATTGCTTGCTATCTGGGTACTAGCTCTCTTTTTACTTCTTAGATTTCTGGTACATGTGACTAGGACATGTGACCATGCACATCATCTCAGGGGAGGAAAATGCCTTTCCCTGAGATTTCCCAGTAATGCTCTGCTGATGACAAGGCAATCCAAGTGCATTGTGAATGTGTTAGCCTTTGCCCTTTCAAAGCAGGAAGTGAATGCTCTGCAAGTGTAAGTATTTCACAATCCCAGCATTTTACACCTGACATGTCTAAACAAAATGTTGTATCTATATCCGGTTTAAGTAACTCTGCTTCAAGTTGCACAGATCATGACTTCTCCACCAGTCACTGTATTTATACCTCTCTTTTCCTCGCTTACAGTCTCACACTCCTGCCTCGTCCAGCACCTTATCTCTGTGACATAGCTGCTGACACCGTGCTGGGAGACACCATACAATACGGGAGGTGACACCATGCAGTACGCGGAGCCCCGCCCACCCGTCAGCGCCCGAGAATTGACAGCAGATTGGCTGATGTGATAGAACACCGGCTGTAGCGTCACAGGCTGGTCACATGAAGGGGCTCGCTGCTGATTGGCCGCTCTGTGAGGAAGTGATGCCTGTTGTCATGTGATGTGATGAGCAGTGTGGAGGATGGAGGGTTTGGGGCTCCTTTCCAAGCTGCAAATAGACCAATGTCCGCAGGTGAGTGACCGGCATTCGGGGGTAATGGGACTTCTCTATGGGCTTTTCCTCTGTGCAGCTAGTCACCGCAGGTGGTGGGCCGACTTGTCTTACTAGGCAAAATGAAAGTTGCTGCTTACTGCTCAGCCTGCATGGAAGGGAGACAGAAGTGACCCCTCCGTGCATGACACGTAGTTTGAGAGTGAGCTACGTCTGATAAACATTTCCGATTTAAAAAAAGAATAAAATACTTGTTTTCACCTTTTGTTGCATCTAATGTCTGCTGATCTCCTGCAGCCTTTTTGCAGCATCTTCTTGTCTACACTGCAGTGATGGCGGCATGTAGAAGGGGGTAAGGTAAATCCTTTTTACTGGCACTCTAGGCATGCACCAGCATTTAAAGAGCAACTCTGGGTTAAAATCGTATTAACCCTTGCAGGGGGGTTACCCTTGCACTGCAAAGGTTAAGTGCTCATTTTTCCCTACGCCCAAAAAGAACAAAGTTATACTCACCTGAACCTCAGAGCTGGCCGGCTGTGAAAGCTCTCCCTCCAGTCTGTCTCCTCCTCAGATGCAGCGTCCTCACATCCTACACACTGTGTATAGAATGTAATGATTCAGGGACCTGAGACTGCTGGAGAGGAGGACGACGCATCCCTGCATAACAAAGGGGTGGGGAATGTCCCCGCCGTCGCAAACTACTGGGCCAGGAGGGGGTTGTCACTGATGGTTTTGCACAGGCTTGGGTGAACTCGGGCAAACTCTGTTCACGCCAAGCCCAGGCACATCACCACAAATAAGCTGTTGCCAGGTCACCACTGGAGGGTTCTGCATAGTGACAGTAGTCCTTCACTTACTTACAGGGCTATTCACAAAACGGTGAAGAGTTTGGAGAAGGCCGGAGAACTGAACAATCTAGGACAAAATAGCTGAACTGGAAAGTGAGCTGAATTGGAGAATGTTTCCAGTTCAGCTATGTTGTCCTAGATTGTTCCCTTCTCCTGCCTTCTCCAAACTCTTCACCTTTTTGTGAATAACCCTGTTAGCATTACTTAGCTTTAAGGACTTCCCTTAAATGATGCCTCTTGATCCGATCATCTTCTTCCTTCCACTGGTATATACTTGAATATATTCAGCAATCCCTCCATCGCTGGTCCCAGTCTCTGATCCAGCACAGACTCCTCGTGTCCCACTGTGTCTGTCTGACGTGTGTGCTCCTGGCTACGTGCATTCCCCTCCACTGTGTGTCTCCTCTTCTCCCCTCCGAAGATCTTTACTGCGCATGCGCACGCCTCATGATCCTTCATGGCTGCTCGAGAAGCTCCAGATCTTCAGACGGGAGCGAGGGGCAGAGACGCAGGTAAGTAATGACCTTTTTGGTAACTTTTTTTTTTTCTTTTTTAAATGTTTTTGCATATATCTACTGCTTGCTAGTTTATTTGAATAGAGGGAAAACCTACCTGAAACACTCGGCTCCCTCCATTTCTCATGTAGTGATGTTGACTGACGGATCCCCCTCCCCGTTCCGCCAGCGCTGACTGGCGGAATGGACGGAGGAGGGGGCGGGTACACCTGGCTCTGCCTTTAGAGATGCAGAGCCAGCTGTCAGTCACGCATCTGGGCGGATCCCGGCACAATTGTCGGGATCCGCTTCAGCTGCGGCGTCTGCTGCTCGCGGTATACTGCGGCGTCTCAGTATACCGCGAGCTACAGCTCACGGTACACTGAGCCTAGGGTGAGGGGAGGACGCTCGTTTTTGTCCTCCCGTTACCCTAAGGTGAACTATGGGGAAAAGATTTACCCCATAGTTCTCCTTTAAGTTCTTTGATGGTTTTATTGACATAACAGCTACAACATATTGCTGATCGAATGTAATTTCATACGGGATCCCTGCTGCTCTATATACCCTTTTTTTTTTTTTTTTAACATTTTCAGTTTCTTCACAAAGTTATTGATGGAATTTGTGGCCAGGCGTATCCTCGATTTCAGGATTATGGAAGTGTCTGGAACCTGAGAGAATGGCTGCAAGTTTTAGAAGATACAGAAGCATTTATGAAAGCCCTTGTTGGTAAAGATGAACCCCAAGAGAAGGTAAATCCATACAGTCTACTTTCTCTGTATGTTCCTGCGGGAGGTGCACCATGGTGGCAGCCGCCCAGAGATGTCCACGTGATCAATTGTTTGGTTTCTGGGCAGAGTTGAGTGTTGAATGACTCATTAGCTGTGCTGGAGGTCTGTTCCATGTATCAACTACTCTCTGTGTAAAAAAAAACAAATAATTCTAAGATTCAATGTGAACCTTCCTCCTGCTAGTTTGAGATCATGACACTGCAGCGATACTATATTTTGTGGGTGTTGAGCTTCAGTATGATGGTATTGTTTTCCTGTCTTCCAAAAGTTATTGATTTCATTTTCTTTTTTTTTTTTATAGCGGAACTCTGGGCAAACTTTTTCTTAACCCTTGCAGTGCTCAATCCTGTGATGGACTACAATCTTAATACAAATTAGTAAACTAAAGATTGTAGTCCATCACAGGAGTGAGCTTGGAGCGGTGACTACTTTACAACACACACAGGGACCATGGGGAACAAAAGTAGTCACCCTCCAGAAGGAAGGACAGTGTCAGCACCAATTCAGAGATGATTTGTGGAGCTACAGCTGAGTGATACACAAATCAGATAAATTTTTGTTAATAGTTCAGGTACTTGAATGCATTTTTAAGAGTTTAGTGTCACTTTAATAAAGAGTTTGCTGGAGCTGACATGAGTGGGTCCTCAGTTTTGATGGACTGTTTAATAACTTGTTTTGAAATATTGCTGTGATCACTTAGAATAATGCTCTCTAGCATTGACAATAGTGCGTACATCCTCTTTCACCAAGGTTGTTTTTTTTTTTTGTTTTTTTTTTTTTTTCCCAGTTGGAAAATAAACTTTATGGGTTTACTGAGG